GTGTCGCCGCGCAGGTCGTTGCCGGAGATGCGGCGTTTGACGATGGCCTCCTCGCCGATGCGCACCGTGATCTGGCACAGCCCCTCGCCCGCCGACCCGGCGTACGCCGGCTTGGCCACGTAGGTCATGGTGCGGCCGCCGCCGGTGCCGCCGCCCGCGGGGGTCCCGGTGCCGGGCGGCGGGTTCGGGGCGGGCGTCGCGGCGCCGTTGCCGCCGCCGTCGTTGCCGCTGTTGCCGTCGGCCGCCGCGGCCGCCGCGCGCTGGGCCTCGATGTAGTCGCGCAGCACCTGCTTCTTCATGGGCACCGCCGGCGCCGCGGGCGCCGCCGGCACCTCGGGCACGCCCGGCGCCTCCTCGGCCGCCCGCCCGTTGTAGGCGATGACGGAGGCGGCGGCGCCGCTGCCGCGCACGATGACCGAGGGCGCGGCGCGGCCGTAGGCGATCACCGACGCCGGCTCCGGCCGCGGCGGCGGCGGCGGCACCGGGAAGGCCGCAGGGGCCGCCGGGGCGTCGCCGCCGGGCGCGGCGGGGGGCGGCAGCAGGACCCCCCCGGCCCCGTCCGTCACCGCGCCCTGGCTGTAGGTCTTGTAGGGCCGCTTGTGCGCCCGCATGGGCAGCAGCCGGTAGAGCTTGAGCGCGTTGAGCTTGGGCCGGTAGCCGCCGTTGGGCGTCTTCTCGGAGGCGATGAGCCCCGGGCTGATGCCGTGGAAGGCTTTTTGGTGCGTCTTGAGGTTGTAGTAGGTGACGAAGGTGTCCCAGCAGAAGATGCACTGGTAGCGGCGCTCGCCCGTGTGCCACACCTCGTGCTTGGTGCGGTACTCGGCCAGCGCGAACACCTTGTCGCAGTAGCGGCACGGGTACTTGCGGCGCCACGAGTGGACGTTGGCGTGGCGCTTCAGGCTGGACAGCGTCATGTAGGAGCGGTGGCACACCCCGCACAGGTACAGCACCTGCCCGTCCACCACCTTCACCACCGGCTCCTGCTCCGGGCCCGGCTCCAGCAGCGCCCGGTGCCGCAGCAGCAGCGCCTTCTTGCCCGCCTTGGGCGCCGCTGACGCGGCGACGCCGGCGACGCCGGCGGTGGTGGTCGTTATCGTGGTGGCGGCGGCGGCGGCGGTGACGGCGGCGGTGGCGGCGGCCGAGTCCCCGTCGCGACAGCCGACCTCGTGCGTCTGCAGGCGCTTGACGTGGATGAAGCTCTTGCCGCAGTGCCGGCAGGCCAGGCCGCGGCGCCCGCGGTGCAGCTTGGCGTGGAAGGCCAGCGCGGCCGCCGAGCCGAAGCCGCGCCCGCACAGCCCGCAGCGCAGCGACGGCGACGCCGGCGACGCGGGCGAGGAGGAGGCCGGCGACACCGGCGAGGGCGACGAGGGCGACGCCGTGGCCGTGTCCCCGCCCGCCGCCGCCGCCGCCGCCGTCTCGCCGGGCCGCGCCGGCAGCGTCAGGTCCACGGGGGCGGCGGCGGGCGCGCGGGGGTCCCCCGGGGAGGGCGGCGGGGGGGTCCACGTGCCGTTGGCGTCCGGCGGCGGCGGCGGCGGCGCGGGGGGCGGGCAGGGGGGTGCCCCCGCCTCCAGCCCCTGCAGCGAGGGGATGCCGAGGCGCCGGCCCACGGCCCCCAGCGCCCGCGCGGCCGCCGGCGACGGCACCGCCAGGCGCGAGTTGTAGATGAAGTTGAGGACGTCGGAGAAGACGCCGGCCTGCACCCCCGGCAGCTCCAGCACCTGGGCGGGCGAGGGGCAGGCGGGCTCCTGCGCCAGGGCGCGCTTGAAGAAGGGGCTGGAGGCGGCCAGGACGTTCTTATGGGCGCGGAACTTGGTGTCCTCGGCGATGATGGTGACGTCGCAGAACTGGCCCCGCAGCCGCTGCTCGTTCAGCTCCAGCAGCAGCGCCCGGCAGTGCCCGGCGTCCGACACCTCCACGACCGGAGCCATCCCCGCGCGGGCCACCTGGACGGGGGGGGGACACACGGGGTGAAGGGGAGGGAGGGACGGTGGGCTGGAGGGCGCCCGGGTGGGTGGGTGCCTTATTTGGGGCTGGAAGAACACGTGGGTACCTTGTTTGGGGTCACACAGATACCCGGATCCCCTATTTGGGGTCACCTGGATGGATGGATCCCTTATTTGGAGTTGGAGGGACACCTGGATCCCCTATTTGGGGTCACCCACACACCTGGATCCCTTATTTGGGGTCACCCACACACCTGGATCCCCTATTTGGGGTCACCCACACACCTGGATCCCTTATTTGGGGTCACCCAGAAACCTGGATCCCTTATTTGGGGTTACTCAGGTATCTGGATCCCCTATTTGGGATCACCTGGATAGATGGATCTCTTATTTGGGGTCACCCACACACCTGGATCCCCTATTTGGGGTCACCCATACACCTGAATCCCCAATTTCAGGTCACCCAGGAACATGGATCCCTTATTTAGGGTCACCCAGACACCTGGATCCCCTATTTGGGGTCACCCGGATGGATGGATCCCCTATTTGGGGTCACCCACACACCTGGATCCCCTATTTGGGGTCACCCGGATACTTGGATCCCCTATGTGGGGTCACCCAGGAAACTGGATCCCCTATTTGGGATGGATGGATCCCTTCCATAAGGCTGGATGGACCCCTGGATCCCTTATTTGGGGTCACTCAGGTACCTGGATCCCCTATTTGGGGTCACCCAGAGCCCTGGATCCCTTATTTGGGGTCACTCAGGGACCTGGATCCCCTATTTGGGGTCACCCAGACCCCTGGATCCCTTATTTGGGGTCACTCAGGGACCTGGATCCCCTATTTGGGGTCACCCACACGCCCGGTTCACTATTTGGGGTCACCTGGATGGACGGATCCCTTATTTGGGACTGTATGGACACCTGGATCCCCTATTTGGGGTCACCTGGGTCCCTTCTATGGGGCTGAGTCCCTTCTATGGGGCCAACCAAATAACTGGGGTCCCTGTTTGGGCTCACCTGGGTCCTTTCTGGGTGCTTGGGGGTCCCCATGGCCCAGGGGGTCCCCAGCCCCACACACTTTCACCCCCAGCCCCACAGATTGGGGTCCCTCAGTCCCACAGATCAGTCCCACAGATTAGGGACCCCCAGCCCCACATACCCCATTCTCTCAGCCCCATATATGCCCCCCAGCCCCACAGATTGGGGTCCCTCAGTCCCACAGATCAGTCCCACAGATTAGGGACCCCCAGCCCCACAGACCAGGGTCCCTCTGCCCCATGGATTAGGGTCCCCAATCCCACAGATTGGGGTCCCTCTGCCCCATGGATCGGGGTCCCTCTGCCCCATTGTTTGGGGTCCGCAGTCCCACGGATCGGGGTCCCTCTGCCCCATGGATTGGGGTCCCTCTGCCCTATGGATTGGGGTCCCTCTGCCCCATGGATCGGGGTCCCTCTGCCCCATTGTTTGGGGTCCGCAGTCCCACAGATCGGGGTCCCTCTACCCTACGGATTGGGGTCCCCAGTCCCACAGATCAGGGTCCCCCTGCCCCATGGATTGGGGTTCCCAGTCCCACAGATCAGGGTCCCCCTGCCCCATGGATTGGGGTCCCCAGTCCCACAGATTGGGGTCCCCCTGCCCCATGGATTGGGGTTCCCAGTCCCACAGATCAGGGTCCCCCTGCCCCATGGATTGGGGTCCCCAGTCCCACAGATTGGGGTCCCTCTGTCCTACAGATTGGGGTTCCCAGTCCCACAGATTGGGGTCCCTCTGCCCCACGGCTCGGGGTTCCCCAGCCCCACACCCCCACTGCTGTCCCCCCTACCCCATAGCTGTGGGTCAGGGTCCCCCTCATGCTATAGGGCCGGGGGTCCCCCTAATGCTGGGGGTCCCCCCTGTGTTATGGGGCTGGGGGTCCCCACATGCTGTGGGGCCTGGATGGGGGTCTCTGTGCTGTGGGGTGAGGCCGGGGGTCCCCCCATTCTGTGGGGCCGGGGGTCTCTCTACCGTGGGTTGAGTCCAGGGGTCCCCCCACACCATGTCCTGAGGGTCCCCCGTTCTGTGGGGTGAGGCCAGGGGGGTCCCCCCATTCTGTGGGCCCAGGGGTCCCCCGTTCTGTGGGGTGAGGCTGGGGGGGGGTCCCCATTCTGTGGGGTGAGGTCGGGGGTCCCCCCATTCTGTGGGGCCGGGGGTCTCTGCGCCGTGGGGTGAGGCCGGGGGTCCCCCCACACCATGTCCTGGGGGTCCCTGTTCTGTGGGGTGAGGCCGGGGGGTTCCCCGTTCTGTGGGGCCAGGCCTGGGGGTCTCCTGTTCTGTGGGGTGAGGCCAGGGGTCCCCCCACACCATGTCCTGGGGGTCCCCCGTTCTGTGGGGCTGGAACGGGGGTCCCCCGTTCTGTGGGGCCGGGCCCGGGGGTCGCTCCCCCCTCACCCCCGTCCCGTCCCGGTTCCCCCCCCGCGGCCCCGCGGAGCCATTTTGCGTCTCGGGGCCTCCTCGGGCACCGGCGGCGGCTCAAAATGGCGGCCGCGCCTGAGGGGGGAACGGGGACGGACCGACGGACGGAGCGGGACCCACGGACAGAGACGCGGACGGACCCACAGATGGGGCCCATGGACAGAGACGCGGACGGACCCACAGATGGGGCCCACAGATGGACCGACTGACAGAGACATGGATCGATCCTGACCTACAGACACACAGACAGACCCACGGACAGACCCACAGACGGACCGACGGACAGAGACACGGACAGATCCTGACCTACAGACCCACGGACAGACCCGGACCCAGAGCGGGACACACGGACAGATCCACGGACAGACCCACAGCTGGGGCCCATGGACAGACCCACGGATGGACCCACAGATGGACCCACAGGCAGAGCACAACTCACAGACAGACCCACAGACAGACTCATGGACAGACTCACGGACAGACTCGGACCCAAAGCCGGACACACGGACAGATCCACGGATGGACCCACAGATGGGACCCATGAATGGACCCACATACAGACCCACGGACAGACCCACGGATGGACCCAGAGAAGGACCCACAGATGGACCCAGACCCAGAGTGGGACCCATGGACAGACCCACAGATGGATCCTGACCCACAGCTCTGACCCATGAACGGACCCACAGACGGAGCCATGGTGGGACCCATGGACAGACCCACAGCTCTGCCCCACAGCCGAACCCACAGACAGACCCACAGACAGACCCACAGCTCTGCCCCAGGGCTGGACCCACAGACAGACCCACAGTGTGACCCTGACCCACAGCTCTGCCCCATGAATGGACCCACAGATGGACCCACAGTGTGACCCTGACCCACACCCTGACCCACGGCTGACCCGTGGGCTGACCCTGACCCATGGCAGGACCCACAGTGTGACCCTGACCCACAGCTCTGACTCATGGTGGGACCCACAGATGGACCCACAGCGTGACCCTGACCCACAGCTCTGCCCCATGGGCTGACCCTGACCCACAGACAGACCCACAGTGTGACCCTGACCCACAGCTCTGCCCCATGGGCTGACCCTGACCCACAGACAGACCCACAGTGTGACCCTGACCCACAGCTCTGCCCCACGAACGGACCCACAGCTCTGCCCCACAGCCTGTCCCACAATGTGACCCTGACCCACAGCTCTGCCCCATGGCTGACCCACGGCAGGACCCACAGCATGATGCTGACCCACAGCTCTGACCCATGGTGGGACCCACAGACAGACCCACAGTGTGACCCTGACCCACAGCCTGACCCATGGCTGACCCTGACCCACAGATGGACCCACAGTGTGACCCTGACCCACAGACAGACCCACAGTGTGATCCTGACCCACAGCTCTGCCCCACGAATGGGCCCACAGTGTGACCCTGACCCACAGCCTGACCTATGGCTGACCCTGACCCACAGATGGACCCACAGTGTGACCCTGACCCACAGACAGACCCACAGTGTGATCCTGACCCACAGCTCTGCCCCACGAATGGACCCACAGTGTGACCCTGACCCACAGACAGACCCACAGACAGACCCACAGTGTGACCCTGACCCACAGCTCTGCCCCACAGACAGACCCACAGTGTGACCCTGACCCACAGCCTGACCCACGGCTGACCCTGACCCACGGCAGGACCCACAGTGTGACCCTGACCCACAGCTCTGCCCCACAGCTGACCCTGACCCACGGCCTGACCCACAACCAGACTCAGGGAGGGACCCAGAGCTTGACCCCGAACCAGGGTGGGACCCTGACTCACACAGCTCTGCCCCACGGCTGACCCTGACCCATGGCAGGACCCATGGCGTGACTGTGACCCACAGCTCTGCCCCACGGCTGCCCCACAGCCTGCCCCACAGACAGACCCATGGAGGGACCCAGAGCTTGATCCTGACCTAGGGTGTGACCCTGACCCACAGCTCTGCCCCACGGCAGGACCCACAGGTGGACCCAAACCCACAGCTCTGCCCCACGGCAGGACCCACAGGTGGACCATCCTCCCAGTGCCCCCTCCATCCTCCCAGTGCCCCCCAGTGCCCCCCACCTGTGCGCGGGGCCCTCATGGACTGGGTGTTGCTGCTCCGGGGGTCCTCGGGGAGGGGTCACAGCCGGCCGGGCCTCCTGGGGGGGGGGAGAACACACGGAGAGGGGTCACAACAGGGGGATTTGGGGGTACCTGGGGTGTGGGAACACCTGGATTTGGGGTGTTTGGAGTGTTGGGGGGGTCAGAACGCCTGGATTTGGGGGGCTGGGGTGGGTCAGAACACCTGGGTGACAAAATGGGGAGGTGACAGAGTGGGGGTGACAAAATAGGGGGTGGCAAAGCGGTGACGGGTGACAAAAAGGGTGATGGGTGACAAAAAGGGTGACGGGTGACAAAAAAAGGGTGACAAATTAAGGGAGAATTACACGGGGGGGGGGGG